GCCTTTTGAGTTTTGAAACTGGAAGCTTCCTACCAAGGTCAGGAGAGCAACCATCAAATTTTAGGAAAGGGACCATGACGGATGGTTGGTACTTGACGTAGGTAGGCTGATACCTTTTTTTAGCGGAAAAAAAAAAAAGAAAGAAAGAAAGAAAAAGAAAGTTCATGGGTGTCCCTGGGAAGTCTTGAAGGCTGGGGCCGAGATCAGAGGACGGCCGAGTCACTCGCATGTGTAGCGTTGGTGCTGGCTGTGCTGGGACCAGCCTGTATTTGACAAATACAGTATTTGTCTTTCTCTGCCTGACTTATTTCACTAAGCTTAATGCCCTCCAGGTCCATCCAGGTTGTTGCAAATGACAAAAAATACCATTCTTTTTTAAGGCTGAGTAGGTTGCAGCTTTATTCTTTTGCACGTGGATATCTCGTTGTCCCAGCACCGTTTACTGAAAAACAGCTCTTTCTCCATTGAAGGGTCTTGGTGCCCTTATAGAAAATCGATTGACTGTAAATGTGTGGACTCTGGGCTCTCAGTTCTGTTCCATCGATCTCTGTGTTGATCCTGACGCCAGTACCATACTGACCTGATTACTGAATCTTTTAGTGAGTTTTGATATCTGTTGGTGTGAGTCCTCCAACTTTATTCTTTTTCAAGATTGTCTTAACCTGGTCCTCCTGGGCCCCTTGCGTTCCTGTATGAATTTCAGGGTCATCTTTCCAGTTTTCTGCACAGAAGCTGGCTGGTGTTTGGGTAGGGATTGCGTTGACTCTGTACTGAATTTGGGGAGTCTTAACAATGTTAAGTCTTCTAATACACAAACATGAGTATCTTTCCATCGATTTAGCTTTCTTTAATTTCTTTCAACAGTATTTTTTAGTTTTCAGAATATCATTTTTATACGTCTTTTCTTAATCTGTTCCTAAACGTATCATTCTTTTTGGTGCTATTATAAGTGGAATTGTTTTCTTAACTTCGTTTCTGGATTGTTCATTGACAGTGTTTAGAAATGCCACAGATATTTTTATGATCAAATACAAATCTTGTGTCTTAAAACCTTGCTGAGTTTGCTTTTTAGCTCTTACCCTTTTTTAGTGGCTTCCTTAGTATTTTCTGTATGAAAGTATACCATCACGTTAGATAGTTTTACTTCTTCCTTTCTGACCGGGGTGCCGTTTATTTCTCACTCTTGCCTAATTGCCCTGCCTGGCACCTCGGTACGACACTGGGTAAAAGTGGTGAGAGTGGGCGTGCTTGTCTTGTTCCTGATCTCAGGGAAGACCTTTAGTCTTTCACCCTCAAGTATGGTGTTAGCGATGGGTTTTTTGTAGATGTCCTTATTAGGATAAGGACATTTCCTTCTATTTCCAGTTTCTTGAGCATTTTTATTATGAAAGGAAGTGCTGAATTTTGTCAAGGGCTTTTTCTGCAGCTACTGAAGCCATCCTGTAGTTTTGTCCTTTCCCTATTGGGATTTTTGGTTATTTAGCCAACCTTGCATTCCTTGGATAAATCCCACTTGGTTAAGGCGTGTAGTCCTTTTTTTATGTTGCTGGATTTGGTTTGCTAGTATTTTGTTGAGGACTTTGTGGGTGTGTTTTTGAGATGTTGGTCTATAGTTTTCTTCTCTTGTGATGTCCTGTTTGGTTTTCGTATCAGGATAATGCTGGCCTCATAGAATTAGCTGGGAAGTGGGCAGGCTCCTGCTCCTCTCCCCTTTACAGGACAGCTCTGCTGCTTCTGCCTCTGCTGTGTTTCTAGGTAAAAGTTCTTTTGGAAAGTTGGTTTACTGCTAAAACAGCCCTCTTCACACACAGATGAAACCTCACAGGACAACAAAACTGGGGCTGCATGTACCAACACGGACACGTGAAAGGCACCTTGAGAGAAAGGAAAGTTGCAGGAAGATATATAAAGATACGTATATAATATAACACAAACTTTACAAATGGGCAGAATAATATCATATGTTGCCTAGAGATCCAGAGTCTTCAGTGAAAGAGTAAACACTTAGATAAGAATTACGAATGTCAGATTCAGGTTGGTAGGGTTTCAACTCTCTTGTATGACAAAGTGATAGCATTCGATGGGCCCAGAATCACTCTTTGTTGTTTGTGTGGGTATTTTTCATGGTCTTTGTGCCATTAAGCCGGCCTTGCAACCTGCCAGCTGGCTGTGACCTCAGACAGGCCCCTTAAGCTCCCTGTCTGTCAGCGTCTCCATCCTCACCGCAGGGCTCATCGTGTCTGCCTGTTGGGTTGTGCAGATGGAAGGAGTGAACACCCTGAGTTTAGAATAACTCAGATCTAGGTCTCTGATGACTCCAACTGTGACATTCTGTGTTTTATTGTCTGTGGGATTTCACGCTGAAGAACAGGCAGGGGTTGGGAGCAGATTTGGAGTCTGCGAGGAGAGGTGGAGGCTGAGCGGTGGGTGCACGGTGGGGTGGGCATAGCGGGGTGGGCACGGTGTTGTCCCTTCCCCCTCCTGTGGGTTCATGCCTTTGGTGGAAGCTCCCCACCCAGACCTGCACCTCGCCCAGCGTCCCTCCCCATGGGACATGCAGCGGTCCCGTCCTCATCACCTGTCATGTCACAGTGACACGTGGTCTGTCCATGGGTTTGAATGGCATGGGGCCGCTTACGTGTGCGTGCTTTTCAGTGGTAAATACTAGAGTCCTGTGCCATCTGTGGATGGGGAGCTGCAGTTGTGGAGAGCTGTGGATGTGGAGGGCCGACTAGAAGTGACGCTCAGATTTTCTAGTGCGGGGCAGTCGGCACCCCCATGCCATGGGCTCCAGGGTCAGCTCTGTGAGCCTACGGCCTCTGTACCTGCATTCTTCATGTCCCAGGCGTTCTAGGACTTTATCCTCAAGAAGTCCGCACATGTGTGACAGTGTTGTCCCCAGAGAAGTTGATTGCTGTTTTCATCATCACAAAAAACTTCAAACAAGTTAAATGTCTCACAGTCAATGTTGGTTAAATGAATCACGGTGTCACCATCTGGTGGGACACTGTGAAGTTAGAGGTGAAGTTGTCCAGGGGGATGTCACAGGCAGTGATGATGTTGCAGCCAAGTGTGTTACAGCTCGGTGTGACAGCTCAGTATGACAGCTTGGTGTGACAGCAACCTGGATCCAGGCAAGAGACTAGGCAGCATTCGGAGGGTGGAGAACTCAGGTTTACTGTATGCTGGCGGTCCCAGAGAAGTTAACACTCCAAGCTCTGGACTCTGTCTGTAGGTTTACATAGGCGTTTATAGGCTACCAGTCTAGACTTTGCAACATTTTGCAACATCATATGCAAATAAGGTATAACAAATGGACCAGTCAGGAGTGATTGAAATGGACCAATCAGGAGTAAGCTTTATGGAAATGAGGTGTTAGAAATGGACCAATCAGGAGTGAGCTTTAGGAACCAATAGATTCTTAGGGGTAAGTTCCGTTCTCCTAGAAGCAAGCCGTTTTACAGAAGCAAAAAGCAAGATAATACCACTGGGTCAGGGAACTGGATGGCACTGGTGGGAAAGTAGTGTCCCTGCCTGGGGGTCCTGCCAGTTTTTTTCATGGGGCTTCCCACCTCAGTGAGGTAACTGGTACTCATCACACTGATTTTTAAAAACTTTTGAAACTCGGAAATAGTTATAGATTTCAGGAGTTGCAGAGAAATGTACGGGGAAATCGCCTGTGTCCTCATTATTGTTTTAAAATGTATGTTAACTGCATGTATTTTTTGTGTATATCACACAATATGTGTAAAGTCAATAAATGCGTCTAAGTAAATTGGAGTGCAGTAATATGGGAAGGTAGTCATGATGTGTTACTAGGTAAACGAGGTCAGTTTCAGTCTGTTTTAAGAAGCTAAGAAGACATTCATCTATATACTAACAGCTCTGTGTCTGCGGTTTTCTGTTTTCTGTTTATTTTGCTCTCCGTCTGTGTTTATCTTTACACACACTCACCGTACAAGCTTCTGCATTAGAGTGTTACAGTGGTTGTCTGTTCCACGTGGACCGCGTCGGGACTGACCGCTGGTGGCTTACACAAGCAGGGGTTTGTTTGTTTCCTGTAAATGAAAGTCTGAGGGAGGTGGTCCAGCTTGGGCTGGCGGCCCCCAAAGCCACCCGAGACCTGGCCCCGTCCCCATCTCCTGACCCTGCCATCCCCCGTGGGAGGCTTTATTTCTCATGCTCATTTCTCCTGGTGGCGGACGGCTGAGGGGCCTCTCGGTCTCCTGCTTGTGCTCCAGGCAGGATGACGGGGAAAGCTCAGGGCCAGGGCTGTGCTGGGCCAGCCTTTCTCCGTCTCTCAGGCCCAGAAGATCCTCGTTTATTTCAGACTGGCCTGCTCCGGGTCATGTGACCACGTGGCTGGTGGTGGGGAGGGGCGGCGGTGGGGTTGCTCAGCTGACAGTCCTGGGTGTCTGCCACGCGTGTTGTTTTGTTTCCATCTAGTTCCCAAATATACTCTGATGAACACAGACTTTCACAATGAGACCATCAAGTCTTAAAAAAAATATGTATGTGTGTGTATATATACATATACATATACGTATACATATACATACATATTTATTTACCTTTTCATAACTCTAGTCCATCTTCAGACAGAATGGGACCAGGTGAGAATTTCCAGACGGGCCTTTCATCGTCAGTCTTTCAGTCCTGCCTGTGACCCCTGGTCTGAGAGCAGAGGCTGCGGGCACCTCACCGAGGCGGGGCCGCTCCCCGCAGCCTGTCCCTAGTTGGTGCCCGAGGCTCTGCGGGGAGGCTGTCAGAGCCGTGGGTCCCTGCACTGGGCCCAGCCACAGGGAGGCTGAATGCCCTTCTTGTTTGGGATGTGGTCTTGGATGGCGCCCCTCTGCCTTCCCAGATGGGCCCCTGGGCCCCGCAGTGGCCCGAGTTGCTCCCTGAGTGTGGGTTCTGAGGAGCTGGTCGCCTCCCGGAGTGAGTGGGGGTCCCAGGAGAGCTGCAGAGAGGCTAATTGTCTTCTCTTTCTCTCCAAGCAGCATCCGGCACGTGTACGGTGCCCAGCACCCCCCCTTTGACCCCCTGCTCCACGGCACGTAAGTGATGGCCCACCTCTCGCCAGGCTGTCCCCAGGCTTGTTCTAGGGGGGCTGCGGTGGCCCTCCAGCTCCCTGGGATTCCTGCGGGGGAGGCAAGTGGCCTTCCATTCAGCAAACATGTCCCAGAATGGGAGCCAGTGTGGGAGAGTGGCGCCCCAGGCTGGACGTAGGGCCTGGCTCTGCCGGTGGTCACTTTACTTGCCTTACTCTCTGCTGCGCCCCCCATGCAGTGCCCCTCCGCTGGCTCTGCCCCCTGCCTGGGCTCTTCCCCCAGAGGTGGGCGAGGGGATGCGGGGGCCCCTCAGGACCGCGCCTGTTGGTTGAGTCTCTGACTGTGGTGGGGCCAGTGTTGAGGGTCGTCCTGCCGTGGGGGAGCCTGGAATTGTACCGTATCCAGACCCACCTGCCAGGGGCCTGTTCCTGTGAACAGCCTCTCCCCGATCCCCAGCTGCTGCCCGGGGAGGTCTGCAGAGGTGTCGGGCTGAGAGCGGGGGTTTGGGGGCTCCCATAACACGAGGCTGGGGGTTGGGTATGAGCACCCTCATAGTGTGGTGTTGCACCCTCATAGTGCGGTGCTGCACCGTCTGCAGGGCAGAGACTCCCAGTGGGACCCTCCCCCAAATCTCTCCTCCCTTCTGGTCACGGCCGCTCGTGAACTCTGCCCGGGCTCTGTCGAAGGTCTCTGGGTTGTGTCTTCGCTTTGACCTCACCCTCAGCTCTCGTCCAGGGTTCCTCTCTGACGGTCTTGGGGGGACCCTTCTCCACTCCCAGGACACCAGTAAAGGCTGCCTTTGCTTTGCAGTGTGCTCAAGGCCGCGCCCAAGGTGCCCACCACACCGCTGAAGGCCAAGAGAGTCAGCACCTTCCAGGAGTTTGAGAGCAACACCAGCGATGCCTGGGATGCTGGCGAGGACGAGGACGAGCTCCTGGCACTGGCGGCGGGGAGCCTGGGCT